ATGAAATTCTACAAAACCTTATTATGAAGTATTGGTTATGAAAACTAGTAGTTACTTTTAATGGCTAGATTTATTTTTATATTCATTATATACTGGCTGTATATTCTGTCAAAAAAAGCACTAACCTGTAATTCTGTAGCCTTCTAAGGTCTCTCTACTGAGACACATGTTTCGCTTCTCTGCCATGCTCATGTTTGTAGTTGATAAGCATTCTGTCTCCTACTCACTCAGGAACGCCAAAAATTCATCTTTGATGAGCCACTGAAAACAAATCAACAAGTACTAAATATTTTACCAGTCTTTATATAAAACAAGTAGACAAATAGCATGTACAATGGGTAAAGTATTAAAGCTTGAAATGAAGTACATATGTCCATTTTTTGTCACATCTTGGTTAGGCCAGACATTTATTATCCCTTGTTCCGCGAACCCGCTGAATGAACAGGAGCCGAAAATAAAATAAAATTATAATTTTATTTCAACGTAATTTCTCGCGCCCGCCGACTTGTAAACGCAAAAAAATGCTAAAAAAATATTAGTTTTATCTTAATATTTTTTACTGCCCACAGCATAACAAATCGTGGGAGTATCATGATCAAAGTGCCGAAGTCTCGCGCAGATGAGAAACAAGTTTATACATGGAATAAAATTGTATTTCATTTCTTCATTCCGATCAAAGATCTCACTTACAATTCTTTGAGAATCACACAAATCTAATGGAAAAAAAAAGAATTAATTTTTTTTCGGCCTCCTCAAAGAAATTGCCTTATAAAAACTCGCGAAACAAGGAATAAAAAAAGTCTGGCCTTACAATATCTCATTGTTGTAAAATAAAGATTCTTATATTATAGAGAATTGTTACAGTCCCATAATTATTTTAAAAAACACAACACAAGATACCCTATTCAACTATTATGATTTATTGTGACGAAAGAAAAAAAACAAAAGTACATTTGTAAAACTCCCCAATTTAATCAATTATCAAACCAGGGAGCTCCCTGATCAAATTGTTAGAAAGAAAAATAAATGTTCCTAAAAAAATGGGGCATACCTTAAATCGCCAATCATCATGCCTGCAGTAAGGCTCTAATCCAGGTTTTCTATTTCTTATACTTTGACCTCTTCTAGAGACGTTAAGGCAATCAAACAAATTGTCAAACATGGATATAAACTTCTCTGTGGATTTTGTGTTGTGCTTGCCTTGGGATGCAAAAGCCTTTGCCACAGTGTCACTGAGTACCTACAAAAAATATGATATAAATTAATATGATCAGTGACATACACTGCTTAAACATAACTAGCAACTATAAGTAGTCAAACCAGTATTTAGCCTGAAATACATGTAGTGATTAATGATATTCACCTGTGCTGCGAGCTTCACTCTCATTCGTGATGATGGTGTCAGATAAACATGGTCATTTGTAATTTTTGGAAGACGTCTCAGGTGGGCAATACCACTGGTGCCAGTTATGCCAATATCTCCCTCCACCAAATCAACCAATTGCCTCCATGAAATGTTTTGACACTGATATTATAATTTGTGTTGAAAAAATACATTACATTAGCAATTTTTTATAATAAATCTGAACAAACTATGTGTTCAAAATACAATATGCTTGTAATACCAGGCTGCCTGTTTATACTTACATGTATATTTCTTGTCTTATTGTGCCAACCTGAATTTTCCCAGTTGTTTCTTGTTGTTTTTATCAGGTGTGGCACGTCACACACAAAATATACTTTACGACTTCGGTTCAATGGGTTGTCTGTGTAATATGTTATTTCATCTTCACTGTCACTGTCCTTGTGTAGGCGATAAAACCGACGGTTTGGAGAAGCCTCATCGGACACAAGCGCTCTAATCTGGAATCCTGCCATTTCCAGCACATAAATCCCCTCCCATACCACCCATTATAGCTGGTAGCGGTTAAATCCAGCACATGGATACCATGAAAATACTTCTTTCAGAGGTAAGAAAATACCTCTGACCATCAAAGCCAGTACATGGGTAGCAAGAGAGGGCTCTCGATTTTCAGTGGTATCTTCCTTGATTTGTTTAAGGCACTGTTCAATTTCTTCGTTGACCTCTTCCAAATTACAAAACCCAACTAATTTTCCTGATGATTTTTAATAGACAAGTCCTGATTTTATTTTCATTTCATCAAAGACTAGGCTAACATTCTTTTTAAAGTCCGGTAATTTAGCAAACTGAACATCTTTCTTAATTCTTAGTAGGATATCAGCATTCACACCATGTGTCGCAGATGTGAACTGTTTGTAATCTACTAAAGTACATTCATGTGGCAGTATCAGGTAATTTGAGCCTCTTATCATTCTGTAGGCAGCTGGAGATTTTGCATGCAATGCACCATTTAATCATGAATGGGTGCCATCGTCTGTGTGTTTTTTGGTTTGCCTGCCATTTCCGTTTGCTGTTGCCAAAACAAATATTGTGGGCTACTTTTTTCATATGTTGTTTCAATTTCTTTCTCTTTTTCTTCCATAATATTAGCAAAAGAAGACGACATTTCATCATCAAGTAACTCTCCACTTGTCTCCAAAAACTCTTGCACTTTTTCTTTAAGGGACTTTAATTTTCTCTTTGTTTCTTCTTTTTCTATGTTCAGTTTTCTTGCCTTCTTTTCTAGTTCCTTTCGTGTCAGGAGATCATTACGAGTTCTTGCTTTTTTAGTCTCAGTCTTCAGCTTGTTCTTGGATACCACAGATGACAAATCTTCTCTATAAACAGAACAGACTGAGCACCTGTCGCCAGTTGATATAAGTAGCTCACATTTTGCATGTCTTACAGTGCTGACGCCCATTACGTTTTCTTCATATGTTATTATTCCACCTTCTTTATTCAGAAAAACAGCTGGCAGTACAGAAGATTGTGACTTTTCTCGGCAAAGTGATGAAAACCCTTTATTGCCTGGACAAACCAAGCTTGCATGTACTGCCTGTAATAATGAAAGGCAGGATTTTTGGTCTCGGATAGCAGGGGCATCACTAATAACTGGATTATTCATGATTATTCGGTCGTGAACTTCCAATGTCCAATTTCCATTTTGATGAATTTCCAACCGATGAGAAACAACTCTCCCTTCATTTGAGGTCTTCACACAAACTATCAATGCACTTTCAGATGTTACGTGGTAGCCATATTCTTTGGCAAGTTTTGCACCATCACTGAGGAGACCACTCAAGTCATCCACACAGAATCTCTGTTCTTCTTTAGCACATAAATTGCACTGATCTGAATGTTCCCGAAATACTGGAGGATTGATATTTAATATATTTTTGACAACTCTGCGTTTCTTTTTGTCATTCCAACGTTTCAATTTCTTTGAGCATGAAAGACAAATGTATGGCGGGTAGATTGAGGAGTCTTCATCAAATACTTCAATATTAAGGCTTCTGAAAAAATCATTGAAGAATAGCTGTTTTTTAGAAGAGGTTGTCTACCATGAATTAATGCAATATCTATACAACAAAGTCTGCATTTCTTCTTTAAATTTTCTTCATGGCTGTCCATGGCAAATAACTCTAAAAGAAAAAAATTAAACAAGAACATTAGAAACAAACACTACCACATTCCAACCCTTCTATTATTAAAAGTTCTTCTTTTGAAAAAAAATATTTTTCTGATCCGCATACAAATAATTTAAGTCTTGGCACTGATTAATTGAATGAACGTGGGAGTGTGACTCAATAACTGTTTCATGCAACTGCTTGAACGAGTACAATCAATTTTATTTGCAGCTACCTGATGTGAAAACAAGCGCAATTTAAAAAATATTTTTAAATTTTGCCCTTGTTTTTTGTACTGGAAACAAAGCCAGTCGGAAAGATGACATCATAAGCTTTATTTTGAACTAAATACATTTAGTAAGAACCCAAAACCTTGCTTGTAAATAAACGTTTTCTAGACCCAAATTTCCTAACAAAAAGGCGAGAATAACAACGCCTTGCTATGGAACCCCCACTTCCTCGATACAGTGAAAACAAGCGAAATTAAAACAGCATTATCAAATTTGGCCATTGCGTTTGGTACTGGAAACAAAGCCAGTCGGAAAGAAGACATCGCAAACTTTATTTTGAACTAAAAACATTTAGTAGGAACCCAAAATCTAGCTTGTAAATAAACGTTTTCTAGAGCCACATTTTTTAACGAAAGGACGAGAATAACAACGTTTTGCTATGGAGATTATGAGAAGGTTAAAACACGGTTGATTGAAAATATGTTTTCAAAAATGGCCTCCGTGTGGCCACCTGGTGATTCACATAGTCAAAAAGTACACATATCAAGCTTTCTTTTGAACTAAATAAATTCGGGAGGACTACAAAACTTCGCACGAAAGAAAACTTTTACTTGAGGTCATTCGTGTGGTCTGAAAAACAGGTTAAATTGACATATCTTACCTTAAAATAATCCGATTTTCACACTTCTTGGAGCAATACAGACGGCACTTCACGAAACATAAAAAAAACTGAATGCGCATGAGTGATAACCTTCAACCCTAACTGCGCACTAAGCATATTACTCGTCAAGTGCTATTCAGTTCAGTGGGCGTGAAATCAGGGACGTTCTCCGCGGCGTCGGTCATACGGGACAAAGGAATCGTACACACTGGTTTTATAAGGGATTACAGTCTTTAAAACAAAGGGCGTTAATGGGGATTAGAATTGATCCAGTCTCCTTCTCATTACAGCTCCCTGATCTCACTGAATGATTATTGAATAATTTATAGAGATAGTAGAGCATGAAAGAAAAACTATAAAATATTCTATGAGTATTGTCAGATTTCTCATTGTTGTGTTATTTAGATATGACATTAAGTATTTGATTTAATACATGTTGTTTTTAATATGACGATATGTGGTAAATAATTTATTATATTGTTTTTTGTCATATGTGACTACAAGAGTAGGTCACGTATGTAACATGTATATGATACATAAATGTGTGTATGGATGGATGGATAGCATATAAAAAACTGTACCTTTATATCTGTGACCAGGAGTAACACAACACATATTACCATCATTGCTGTGTAACTAGCCATCTCGCTATCGTGGAAAAAATAATGAAAGAGCTGAAGTATTGTGTTATGTTGTATTGTAATATGACATAAATACACAAATTCCTATAGCCATATGTTGGCATTGTTATTTTTAGACATTATTATAATAAACAAGTCTTTATTCTTGCAGTGCATCAGAGACAATTTACATCCAGTGTATTTATAACTGCTGCTGTCATTATATAATATTTGCTAATGACTTATTTGATTTGATTGTGAACTGTGTCATGAAAGACCAACTTGATGTGTATGGCAACTTCTGTCATCTAGTATGTATGTATAGTGATGACGTGTTCATCTTAACGATTTTGTTATTTACGTGAATGTGTGTAATCAGACCACTTGGCAGCCGAATAGCAGTGTTCTACCCGCGATCAGGTGGTATAATTTTTTTATTAAACGATTTGATAAATATCAATTTGATTCATTCTGAGTAGTTAAAAAATACGACTACAAAAACAACATGTGAGTATTAAAATATGTTACTTACAAATGGGTCTGCTTGTGAGGACTGCTTCCCCTTTCGTCGACAGACAGAGAGTGCGTCCTTGGTCGGTAGGGGATTAATTTACCACATTTAAATATGTCTTTTTGTTGCAAATACCAAGAACATGTGGGCGTTCAAAATGGGAAATTACCCGGGTGTGTCTGACAATTTCTATCATCTAATATGTATGCATATCATTTGCATCTAATTTATGACCCTAGTGGTGACGTGTTCATTTGAAAGACCTTGTTTTCACGTGGTTGCATGTTATTTGATATTAGTGTGCAATTTTGTGAAACTATTATTTGTTTCCACTGTTTCATTGTTTTTAAGTAAAATTTACATAATAGCAGGGCACAGGCTGTGAATAAGTATGAAGACAGACATCTGGAAAGTCGAATAACAGTGTTCTATCCGAGATACAGTGATCTAATTTTATATGAACGCGTTTTGATAAAAATAAATTTGTTTCATTCTTAGTATTTAATTAATACGAATCTGAATACAAATGGTACAGGTATGATAAATATGTTACTTAAAACTCAGTCTGAGTCTGCTTGTGATATTTTTTCTTCATTCGCCGTCATGCAGAAAGTGTGTCATAGGTCAGTAGTGGGTTTAGTTCCCACTGTAAAATGTTTATTTTTGATTCAAATGCCAGGAGATATAAGAACGTGCTGGTGTTTAAAATGGAAGACAATGGAAATACCCGGATGTGTCTGACAACTTCTATAATTTAATATGTATGCATATCATTTCCATCTAATTTTTGAACCTAGAGATGATGTGTTCATTTGATAATTTTTAATTTTTACGTGTTAACATTATACTACTTAATAATAGTATGTAATTTCGTATAATCTGCATTTGGTTAAACCGTTTTGTTGTTGTTTTTGAGTACAATTTACATGATCAAACAGCACAGGATGTGAGTAAGTGTGCAGATATACCTCTTGGCAGTCGAATAATTTGATATGTAATCGTTTTTATAAATATCAATTTGATTCATTTCAAGTATTTAAACAACACGAATCTGAAAGATGGTATTGATGGAAATGCCGATATTAACACCCATAACATGAATCGCGCTATAACGAGAAAAATAAACATATATTAGGAGAATAGATAATTAGAATGAGAAATATGATCTCGTTAAATGGAAACAACATGTTATAAAAACGTTCCGGTAAACTAGGGATATTCTAGAAGATCCATTCTACAATTTTGTTAGCACAAAAATTGTTACTATAAGGAATCAGCACCGACCAACGAGTCAAACCTTGACGTGGAGTTTTTTTTCAGACGGGTCTTTAGCACAATTATAATTGGATAAAATAAAAAAATGAGAATATCTTTTATATGACCACTGACATGAATCTGAGGTGTACAGTATGTGATGACTAACCACATTACAAGTGAGGAACATTTGATACAAGAACATTAAAATGTATTCTCAGTAAAATAAAGCTTTCTTCCCTGCACTCCCAATATTTTTATATTCAGCTCCTATTTTGTTGTGATGGCAAGGGAGAACTTTTTATACAGGTTCTTTCATGTTGATCACATTTGCATTCCAGTTTCAAATCTTACTAAACACATGCGAAAACACATTTATCAAATTGGCATAAGCTGTATTTCTTGGAGAAAAAAAATGAATTAAGTCTCAAAAAGTGTAATCACAGATTCAGACAATGATCCTACCATATTTGGTAATGGGTGAACCTTGGATTATGATAGGAGGGAGCTTAGGCGATGACAACAATGTCATTGCATGTGGTTTATGCGAGGTTTGGTTGCAAGAGGTATCTCAATGCTTAAACACATGACAAAATGCTTCAATTCGTCTTCAGGAGTCTGATTCAAACAGTGACTTCATCACTAATTGTCAATGCCTGGATGACTCCATGGCACCTACCAGTGAGTCAATGTAATACTTGAGTTTCATTACATATCGACTTTCAGAGTGTAACTCATGAAATGAATAGCTTTACAAACTATGATTTCCAGTGACTGGTGGGTAGAGTGCCCATTGCATTTGCCATCAAGCTGTTACTACCTATTTTTAGTGAGACTTCTTTCGTCGGCTGTGTCTGCATACTACTCCGCTACATACACCCACCACATGTCTACGTCCTACGACAAACTGATGATTTCTGCCTAACCCAGATTTTATTGATTAAGTTTTGCTTACATTCTGTTACAAATGATTTCAAGGGAGTCAAGGCAGTCAATGATAATTCACCATTGCCCTCACCGCCATTGTCGACAATTACATATTCATACTCACAGGGGCATCAATATGCAATAAACTGTCACTGGAAAGTTTTGTGACCATGTTACTGTAGTAATGCTACTCTTGACATGGTAACTCAACATGTTTGCCCAAAATAATACCATGTGTTACCATGCACCACTGCATGCATGTCGTGAGATTGAATGGGCTCTAAGTGTAGTCACACCCACCTTGTATCACTGCGTTTATGGTATCAAAAATGTGTTATGGTAGTAGTGGCTATATTGCATCAACTGGAGATGCATATCCACTCCTTATCTAGATAATTGATTCTTCCAACATGTGAACATCACAGCACTCAAGTGGGGCATCTCCATAGCAACTTTAAGAACTTCGGGTGTTCTAATCAATATAAAAGATCTTCCCCCCAACTATTGCTCAGTGGACTTGCACGGCTATATTTTCTCAAGCGCCAGCTGAGGAAGGTACTGGAATGATCCCTATTTTGTTACTGAAGAAAGCAGCCATACATTGAACCCATTGTTGGAAAGTAGCGCATGATAAACCAGAAAAAAGTCAAAGCAAATAAGTGGTCAAATCAGCATTTTAGTCACCATTAATGCAATATATTTCTTTTGTCTTTTGAATTGTGAATTTGTTTGCATTTTATGATACCCATCAGGTGTTTATTCTATTGGTTCAGCCCTCATATTGCTGTCCAGTTTCTGATACCCCGTCACGTTTTTATTCTATTGGTTCAGCCCTCATATTGCTGTCCAGTTTCTGATACCCCGTCACGTTTTTATTCTATTGGTTCAGCCCTCATATTGCTGTCCATTTCCTGATACCCATCAGTTTTTTATTCTATTGGTTCAGCCTTCATATTGCTGTCCAGTTTCTGATACTCCGTCACGTTTTTATTCTATTGGTTCAGCCCTCATATTGCTGTCCATTTCCTGATACCCATCAGTTTTTTATTCTATTGGTTCAGCCCTCATATTGCTGTCCAGTTTCTGATACCCCGTCACGTTTTTATTCTATTGGTTCAACCCTCATATTGCTGTCCATTTCCTGATACCCATCAGGTTTTTATTCTATTGGTTCAGCCTTCATATTGCTGTCCAGATTCTGATACTCCGTCACGTTTTTATTCTATTGGTTCAGCCCTCATATTGCTGTCCATTTCCTGATACCCATCAGGTTTTTATTCTATTGGTTCAGCCCTCATATTGCTGTCCAGTTTCTGATACCCCGTCACGTTTTTATTCTATTGGTTCAGTCCTCATATTGCTGTCCAGTTTCTGATACCACATCAGGTTTTTATTCTATTGGTTCAGCCTTCATATGGCTGTCCATTTTCTGATATCCCATCACGTTTTTATTCTATGTTTAGCCCGAATATGGCTGTGCATTTTCTGATATCCCACCAGGTTTTTATTCTATTGGTTCAGCCCTCATATTGCTGTCCAGTTTCTGATACCCCATCAGGTTTTTATTCTATTGGTTCAGCTCTCATATTGCTGTCCAGTTTCTGATACCCCGTCACGTTTTTATTCTATTGGTTCATCCCTCACTCTAATGTACTCGCATGTAGAATACAACATATATTGGAATTCCTTTCTTAAATTCTTGAGAACTTTCTGATACACTATTTACATAACCTTATTGTGTGAATTCACCAGTGTGAGAATTGTTCAGGCATTACAACTAATTCTCTTATGCGCTTTTATGAGTGTATTTTTTATATATGGTGCCGTTCTGTACTGGAGAAAATTACTGTAAAGATTGCATTTATTACTTTTCATAAAAATATCCCCACTATTAATATTTGTAGATGTATAACTTAAGTTTATAAAACCATGTTTGATGTTATATCCTGGACATACTTACACCACAAGTCACGCATTTTCAGTATAACAGTATGCAATTCCTATAATTCGGTGTATTCACGGGGGCGTAGCCACGTCACGGAACAATCTACGTCGCTAAGACGCGCACCACTGTACCATGCATTTTTATGGGCCCTGTGTGAGCTACTGTGGAAGGCCGGTCGAAGAGCTGGTGAAAACAGTTAAAGCGGAGAAAACAGAAAAAATCAACATTGAAACTATCCTGAACAACAAAATTGATATATGTTGCACATGTAGGGTTGAGGGAATTATGGTTTATATAATTGCTGTATACCTGTCACCTTTCAAAAACCTCAGTAAAACAAACGAAAGAAAAAAAATCGTTAAATCAGGATTATTCAAATGATTTAATGTACATATTTGAATATATGCAGACTAGCTAATTTACATTTCTTATTTATTTCGGTCATTGGAAATTAATGATACAAATTTGCATTGTTAATAGACCCAGTTTCCAGCAATTTATTTTTAGAAATTACATGTACTAGAATGCACGTGTCCATATTTGAAAGTATATGCAGCATTTACAAGATTCTGTGTTTCCATATTAGTAGTATGCGGACGTGTTTTGTTCACAGTCAATCAATTTTGATAACGATGACCTCTATATTTTATTCTATTTCTTCTTCATTCTGTTATGAAATGTCACATGTAATAATAAAGAAAATCACACTATTTTTTTTTGCTTTTGCGTACAAGTCGTTGTTCAAAAGATTAATTACCAAAATACAAAAACGACGTGTTGAAAAGCATACCACAGAAACAACATACAATTATAATGTTTATTGGTGAAATACATCAAATGGAGGGTTCCTTGGCTTAGCAAATCATCATTCACTTAGGGTACTTATGCAATCAGCAGTGGAAACATTTTTTTTATTGATCCAGTGATTATATCTACAATTTCGAATCATCTTCGATTCATACACGCATGGTTATCGGTACACGGTGGTTGCTGTCCAATAAGCTACCCACGTTTATTACAATTTCCCCTCTTACATTCACTAAACACCAAATACTTTTTTACCCTAATTATAGGTTACAACGAAGAAAAACATAAAGACACCAAGAGAAAACATTTCTGGAAATTTGTACCCACCGCCATGTCGAATGCACCTGAGACGGTTGTCGGGGTTAATCTCATATCGAAAAATAAAACCATTAATTACAATCGATTGCATACAAAAACTCAATATCAATTACATGTACTGCTGTCGTGGACACTGAAACGGAGTCTGCCAACAATAAATCGTAATGCCATTATATAACATTCCACCGCCTGCTTAAACACACCAAATACGAATGACCAATCACAGCGGAGGTAGCACATTCACATGAACACTGCACTGCAAGCACTTGAACGGCGGTGCCGCCGCGCCACGCATGCGCGAGATATATGGTCCTATATAAACACCGGCGGTAATTAGTGAAGGTCGCGCCCAGGTCAAACTTCATACTTGTGATTGTCAGTAGAAGAACGCAATGGATTGTGGGAAATCAATTTTTATCAACACAAATGTCGCACATGCGCAGCGTGACGACTGCCGCCCTTTAATTATCGGCTATTTGTTAAAAAGCAGATAATTGACCATCGGCATAATTCACTGAAGATCGTGAATTAACGTTTTACAGGACTATTGCCCACTTTCATGAAATACATGTGATTTTATGAGGAATGCAAATGACATCAGCATAACGCAGGTGACTTGGCAGGTATATTACTGTTGTATTACTTCGGAATAATTCCTGAAATCATTACGATTCGTACACATACCAGGTTAATTACACAGAACTGTGAATTGTTACGCACATACTTACTGTGCAAATATTTTAATACAATTATTTTTAATATCAGCCACTACAACCTTACCAAATGGTTTATCATTAGTGAGAGAGATACCACGGGGAGTCATCATCCCATCAGCAGGACTATCAATATGACATACAAATTGACCATGAGAGTCATACTTCTGAACCCTATTATTACCATTTTCACTCACGTACATATATCCATCTGTATCAGTAGCTAAACCTAAAGGACACTGTAGTTGAGTACCAACATTTCCACGACTTCCAAACTTGAATAGAAATTCTCCTTCACCAGTCAGCACTTGTATGCGGCGGTTGCATTGATCTGCCACAATGACATTACCTTTACTATCTGTAGTAATTCCAAAGGGACTTTGAAAATGACAATTCCAATCACCCTCTGATCCGAATGACTTAATATATTGCCCATCTTGGCTGTAGATTCTCATACAGTTGGATTTCAGATCAACAACATACACCCTTTCATTCACAGGGCTGATGCTAATACCAATAGGGTGTGTCAGTTGCGTATTGCCAAAACATCTAATTAGTTCAAAATTGTTATTACATACAACTACTTGTTTGTTGTTACTGTCTGTTATGAAATAATTACCATCCAGTGATTCTGCGGCAAACCGTGGATTAAATGGTTCCCTGAAACCAGTGAATTGAATCATTCGTTTATGTTTTCCATCCAAGGTCAGTAATTGAAGTCGATTATTTCCACCATCACAAACTAATACGTTCCAATCACTGGTTATCAGGACACTGTCAGGTCTATTGTATTTGCCATAATTACCCACCAACCCCTTCTTAGGAATTACATTAATCTTAATAGGTGAACCCTGCACCGATTTGTTATTAACTAAAACTGTCATTTCATGCACCCCTTCTACCTTAGCCTGATATGCCAGACTACAAGTCCCGTCTTTATTTTCAGTCACTTTCACATCTTCTATCGTATCGGAAGGAGTTTTCATTTTGACTTGGATTGTCTGTTTTGAAGGCAGAAAGTTCACCATAGTTCCATCACTTGCTGCTAAGGTTACGGATAATTCCCTTCAAATTCTACCATACTTTGGAACATCTTTTATCTCGAAATTATATTTATTGTGAAGTATCACTCCTAGGGTTTTGGTCTTACAAAAGTCATCAGAGCTTTGAAACTCTATGTAGTCATGTTCAGTTGGATCTTGTTTGGTTTCTAGTTTTATCAATTTCTTAATCTGTGACGTCATCCCCTTCTTTGTAAACATCAGTTGTGTAGCATTCCCATAATTCATCAGGTTAGTGGCAAAGTCACGTGCATGTTTCACATCATTTTCTGCAATTTCCAGTTCTTTCATTTGCGCATGCAAATTCTGTTTTCTCTCACTGAATACCTTGTTCATTTCTTGCAGTAACTCTGCCTCGTTTTCACGAATTTTAGCAGTGATTTCCGCCACCACTCTCTCAATACGAGTATTTAGTTTATGTTCTTCCTCGCTAAAACGATTTTCTAGCAATTCCGTCACATGCTGTACTTTCTTTTTGCTCTCTTTTGCATCTTTTTCTTTCTCTGCTAGTATGTCTGCCATCTTGGTTAGATAAATGGTGTATTGCTTGGTGGCGTCCTTAAGATATCGGTAATTGTGTTCGGGTAGTCGGTGATTTAACGCTGCACATTCTGCGCAAACTTTAATATTACAGGTATCACAATAGAATTTAAGCTGGTTGCCATGGTGATTGCTGCAGATGACAGGCGGCTCATCTTTTATGCTAACAATATCAGTGGACTTTGTAGCTTCGTACGCTTGGAGTGGCATCACATCATGGGATTTAGTAAACGGAAGTTGTTTATGTGGCAAAGTACAATTGTCACACAGCCCTACAGCACAATCAATACAATATGTGGTTACCGACCCTTGCTGACACCCTCCGCATTTCTGAACGTAGTTTGTCTCTTTGTCTCGTTTTTCAAGTAATACGACCAACTCGTTTACAAAAATGTTCGGCTGCACACTGCTGGCTCCTTCTGGAAGGTCATGAACTCGTCTACACACTGGACAAGGTATACCCTTACCTCCCGATTTCTCTAAAAGTTTGTCGATACACTGCTCACAGAAGCTGTGCAAACACGGTAGAATCTTAGCATTACGGTACCTCTCAGAACACACCGTACAGACGAGAAAGTTTTCATCGATTTCTTCACGTATTTCCGATTCTACCGAGGCCATGGCGCAACGTGTCACGATATATTAACTTACAAGAATGCACTGCGAGTCTGTGTGTCACCAGCCTAGTCACGTGATACGTATATTGAGAATCAACTGACGACCATTTGCTGGGAAAAGGTTTATTGACATGCGCACGTGCAGCATTCACAGTTGATCATTGACCTAGCAAACGCGTGTCTGCACGTAAGGTGTACGGTACTCGTGAGTCACGTGTGCGCACAGTTAAGAGTATATAGCAGTGACTACATTTCTTGCTAAAAACAGTCAACGATTTATTTTGATTTATTAGTCATCAGTATGTGATTTTTTTTTTGGTTTACAGTCAATCTCTTTTTCGAGGAAAAAAACGGTAAAATAACATGCATAGAATTTCAATTTAGCAGTAGTTTTCCACGCATTTCCTCGATAAAACCCCACAAAAATATTGTCATGTGTTTAAATAAGTTAAAATTAAGGAAAATGATAATATTTTTACTTTTGTGTAGCGCTCTACTATAACAAGGATCATTGATGTACATAAAAGGTCTTGTCGTTAGTAACCTGTACGGGTCAGTTTCGTTGCTAGGGGCTAAGAGCGGGGTTTTGGTTATGGTTCGTCGTCTGCAAATCAAATAAAGCTTTAATTTATAAAGTATATATTCCAGATACACCACTAAATTTCACACACAAATTCACACACGGCACACCAATTACTGACTGGCAATAACGCACGTGTTTGACACTTCCATAAATGCAGATGCGGTGTAATTGAATAGTAATTGTTAATGGTAATTGTAATTGGGTTATGATGATGGATGATTGGAAGGGGCAAAAGGGTTGGGAGTGCTGGTGCCGGATTCTTGGCGTATACGCATTTCTGAATATGAATTTATTTTTAATTGGTTTACAATAATTAAGATTTATCTGCTTTTATAAAACGATACATTCATCAAACTTTTGATTTGTAAACACGTAATTTAGTAAACAATGTGATCTCAAAACAGAATAAGTTGGATACACCATAATTTACTTCACGGTATGTTATTATCCATTTTATTATTATACATCAGTCACCGTAATAAAGTTACAGCGTGCCGTAATTTTGTGGTATTTTACGGGGGATTTCATCCTACCATATAAGGAAATGCAAATTCTAAATATGAAATGATTACGCGCGTAAGCGTCCTATAATAATAAAAACTAAGTTTTTAACATGGCTACCGCCAGGGTTTGACCGGACTCCATACAAAGAAGTTCGCTGATTCTGTTATGAACTTTTTGGATTTCGGCATTCCCTTTATTTATTTTTGGAAGGGAAATATGTATAATAATAAGGTATTACTCAATATTAGGTTATTATGATTCGAATAATTGCAGAAACCCTTAATCTACATAATACACTCTCAGGTGAGTATTGACTACTACGGACGTGGTAATATGGATTATCGTGATAGTGCCACGCGCGTATACGACTATTCTGTCATTTGTACAGGACACTACAGTATTTCCGACAAATGATTCTTCGCGAAATGTTGGCGTGTATACATGTTGATGTACCACTTTGTTGCAATTGGCGAGTCCATCATTAAGGAAGTGTAGTATGCAATTATGTAATTAACCAGCATAACATTAGCGTTATTATGTTTATCTATTTAATTTCAATTATGTGAAGCGTACCGCAGGGATTGTAGTACAAGATTACATCTTACCGGTCCAGTTTCACTCTTGTGTACGGCTATGTATGTAAAACAATATTTCCATGAGATTTGGCCATCTTTATGTATTTAAACAAAAAAAGTTAAAAATCACAGATATTGCCGCTTCCATATGATGCAGATTATCTGTGCAACACACACTGCCCCATTCGCGGGAATTTTAGCGATACTCAAATACAATGACGACAATTAATTTATTTTGTACTAATAATCGTTTTGTTGAATTTTATGTAGGAATATTATTGCAATTGTTCTGCATGTCGCGGTTCAGTTAGAAAGTATAGTGATGATATGCTGTTCACGTGATCATTATACGTGCATGGATGAACAAAGTGCATGAAGTGGCGTTGGTGGCGTTGTCGATTAAATTAAGAATTCAACTGATTAAGAAAGGGTTCCATTGCTCAGGTATTAGTGCGGTAGTTAGCAGAGAAAAACACGAGTTTAACATTGATCTGTGATTCAGACATTCTCTAAATTTAAATTACTACGTAATTACCACTGTTATATCAGTTATATATCTAAATGCTTAGCTATAGACAAAAACATTAGTGTATATGTCGTACCAAATGTTTGTTTAAGGAATTACTCGTTGGCCAATTTCGATTTTATGCCTTTTCTATTCCGAATAATTTAAAATGTCGCTTTTTAACAATTTTAGTATTGTGAATAAATTGTGAATTGCACTGAACCTTTTTGTAACGCTGTAGACTGGAAGAATGTGGTCTCTGCTTTTATCATCTACCTACGACATAACAATTACAGACATGTTACCGACAATCCAAAAAATACGTGGAAGACATTCAAGACTAATGTAACCAGGTCACACAATAACAGGACTGACCGACAAATAACCACACTACAGTAGATTAGTGAGAGGCAAATATATATATGGAAATGCACGATCCTTAAATAATGTGAAAGATAATTATTTGTATATAATGATAATTTGTATACTTCGTTACATATTATGTGGTTATGGTATCTAAAATATGACATATACATTAATGCACAAATGATAGCCCATATAAATTTGACATTAAGACAATTTTCACAAGAAAAGGAGATAAATATGTATTACACGAGATGCGACACGTAGATGGTAATGATGTCAACAAAATTCATTGCTGAACTCTGGGTGGCACAGTTCAACCTTACAACGATCAACACAAAGAGACGCGGTTCAAGAAAATGCATATCAACTCTAAGGGCGTATTACAATAATTCGCGAATGAACATTCAATTTCCCAAAATTACTAGCATTTAGAATGTAATTTATGATCATTATAGCTGGCGCTATAAATTCCTCTTACATGCCCCATCGCTGGAGATAATTTATATTTTTTCGTTACCATGGCGATATAGTAACTCCAACTAACAAAAAGGATTGCTTATACAACCGAATACAAAACAGCAGCCACCATCAATGACACGAGGGGATCGTTATTGTGCAGCAATATATATGTGAATAGTTGATGACACTCTCAGAATACACGGAGCACGTGGTCGGAAAATCATGTGTGATATTGTGTTATTAGAAGTAACTACTCAAGTTAAATACACTTTTCTGTAAAATCAAACATTGAAATAATTATGTAAGACAATTTTGTTACGAACATGCCATCACTTACGTATTTGTCGTAATCACCACATATTTTGTTGGCATTGCAATATATACTAATATTAGACCTCATGAATGATCAATAAGTTTTCGGCCTCACCATGAAACAAGGTGCGTAACTCCTCTTCTGGGGTATAACTTGATACTATTATATCTTAAATCACTACCTATAGGAATGCAAGCTTAGGTATTCATTATTTAGAACGTGGTGCCCATTTAAAATCAGCAGGTGAGACGAAAATCACAAAATGGACCAGACAGAAGCTCTTGCTGTGATCAAGTATCTCTAAAAAAAGGGATGACTCTCAAAGAAATCCACGAAGACATGGTATCGACACATTGTGTAGACTCCCCTTCTTATTCTACTGTAAGGAAGTGAGTTGCTAACTTCAAGCTAGGCGAGGAGAGCACGAATAATGTCCGAAGGTCTGAACGCCACCACAGACAGGTTGAGGCCATCCATCGCATGATAATGAATGACAGACGTGTCACTATCCGACATATCGGGCGTTCACTAGGCATCAGTTATGGTTTCAATCCGTGTCCTATAAAGGCCATTACTTACGGATTGTGAATAATTATTTAGAGTGTATATTTTGCCGGTTTGTTAATTAAGTTTTAATTATTTTGGCCAGATATTGCGCTGTATTCAACACTTTGATCGGTGTGACTAACCCATCTGAAACTGAAACCTTCTTGAATAAATTGACGTGAAACAAAGAGATCACAAAGAGAAGTTTGTTGCCAGTTCCTGATACTTTGGGTTGGAAACCCCATGGCCAACTACATGTGCTTCTACAAGTTATAGTACCCTGCATAGTGAAGTCTCTGTAGCCGTGCTGCAATTTTGTTGTCAAACCATCATTGAAACATTAAACTGTGTAATACAAGGAACACCGTGTATGGAACTGGGTCAACCTAAAAGCTGAGTAGTCTATGAGGTTGATATTTTCCCGTCGTTATACAGTTCGTCGTTACGGCGCAGTGATTGATGTTAACAGTCTACAAGTGACAGTGTAAAACGTACTTTTTACGTTGTTTAGGACATTAACCATGGTTATTTGGATTTAAATGTTAATGTAATTGTTGCTTTAATTATTTATTCACAAATATTATGATTTGAGATTATCCAGTATTAAATATTTCGTTGACCACATCAACTTGTGTTTCTTGAAGTGCTCGCACGTTTGTTACAGGTGTGCGTGTTCACTCCCACGCGTTGACCTTTTGAGCGTTTAAACAGTTATCAACACGCGCCTTCAGTCCTTCTGTGGATATATCGTATTGTATCATATTACAAACTGTCAGCTGTTATCTGTTATAATAGATAAACTATGTGGATCTATGGTTGACCAATCATGGCCGATTTTAGATGCCAGAGAATAATTGATGTCGCATCGATCACATACACGCTTAACTCCTTGAGTCTTTGGTCCTTTCCAACATGGTTTCCGCACCCTTCCCGATGGATTCAGACGCAACCCGGAAGCAACACTATCTACATTCTGCTTGCTTTTGCAAACACATTTGTCCTGAAGCATGGCATATTTTGTCAACGAAATTATCTCTGTTGGGGAGGATGGTGGCGTGCTTTTATAAACGCATACATGTAAGTTGAGATGCGGGAGTGGAGAGTTGTTCTAGGGAATTCAGTGTGATGTGATAAAAATTGAAAAAAC